TTTCTCATTTATAACAAAAGTTTCTTTTATGGAAAATAAAGTTTCTTCCCTAAAAAATATTTCTTCCTTAAAAAAATGGTTTCTTCAAAAATATCTTTTATGAAAAACAACATTTCTTCTGATTTAAAAAAAAAATCTCTTTTTTAAAGATGAAATTTCTTCCGATATGTCCTTCGCTAAAAAATGAAATTGCTGCTGATGTAGAAAATAATCACGGTCAAATAAAGTGCCATGAGGTGAAGTAAAAGTTGAAATTGGAAGGAGCTGTAAACTATATTCATGATAAAACCACAAATTTCGACGGGAAGATGTTTTAGACGAACCAGCTTAAACAGTTCGAAACAGCTGCCAGAGCAGACGAATGGTCTGAACAAGAAAAGACAGTAAATTTAACCATCACTCTTCGAGGAGACGCTTTAGATGTCCTTCAGACTATAAACGTGGAAGAGACAGATGATTTTGAAAAACTCAAAAAGAGACTAAATATGCGATATGGCTACAAATACTTGGAGCATTTATACCAGTCACAGTTAAAAAAACGCAAACAGAAACAAAACGAGACTCTTCCAGAATATGAAGTAGGTATTGCCAGGTTGGTAAGGTTTGCTTACCCATCAGCTCCGGAAAATATGATGGAATTATTTGGCAGTTCAAACATTTGTTAATGGACTCCGTGACCATGAGTAGCAAAAAACACTTCCCTTAGTTCGTCATTAAACATTGGTCGATGTCTTGTCCGCTACTTTAGGGTATGAGGCAGCTCCGCATGCTTTTGATCGATACAGTAAAGTGAAGACTGCAAAAAAGAGGAAGTAGAGGATAAACATGATAAAGAGCCTTACTGATAAAAAGATGAATACAAAGGCCATCAAGTACTGGAATTGCGGTAAACTGGGACATATACGCAGTTCATGCAAATGTCCTAGGGTCCCAACAACTACAGGTAAAATTCCGAAAGATAACTACAACGGGTCGCTCTTGAGGGACAGCTTCGTTTCGAAACCGTTCCTAAGACTCTCTCATACTGATACCCTCTTTGAAATGTCGCGATGATAGTGTTTACGTAGACGGCAAAGTAAATGGTAAAAAGTATACACTGGTGATGGATACTAAAGCAGCTAAGACCATTAAACGACTAACAACTATAAATAATCGTAATAGACTTCTACCAACAATATTGCGACTGTAAACTGCCACAGGTCAAAGTGCCAACATCCATAGGGAAATTCAGGTTCAACTGGGAATTGGTACAGAAAAGTTTACTTATACTCTTATTGTCGCTGATATCGTAGAAGATAATATTCTTGGAATAAATGTAATAAACTTACATGGTTTCCATTTAGACTTTAAGAACAGAATGATTAAAGTTGGTGCCGAAGAGGTATTTCTACACGGCTACACGGCTTTAAGAAACTAATAAAGAAGGAACACCTGTAATGATGGAAATTTAATCTAAAAGGGGTTGGTCACGACTACTAAAGAAATTCCAGTTCGTTTTATAAACGTTAATGATCACCCAATAACCATCACTTATGTACCAGTAACTTCCATAATTCGTCAGACAACAACTTCTGATAATTCCAACGACAAATTCGAGCAAACGATTGCAGTTGCCTGGAAAATTCAAATCGCCTCTCTTAAAAAATAGAATAAGTAACAAGAAGAAATATTGAAGAAGCTTTTCAAAACTTACAAAGTAATTCAAAGATGGGTTCAAAAAGTGGAAAATACAACCTAATGAATAAAATGCGGCAAACAACTTTATAAATTAAACCAACCATTAAAGCATACCTATCACAAAATGGACTGCAGATACCACATGAAAACAACAAAATATCTAGTAATAAATCTAGATGCAAACCTGAGTTAAAAGGAGTATGTAAAGAGAAAAAAGAATTAAACGTACGATATGCGGTATGGAAAAATGTATTGGTTCTTAAACAAAAAATTACAAATGACAATACAAAACTAACTGCTCATATGCAACGTTTCACACATTAAAAAATTACAGAACAAATTACTTTATAACATTGTGGATGCCTTGCTTTATATTCTAAGTATAGGAGCCTCATAATATTTGCATGAAAGCACGAAACAATACTCCACAATCATGGTCATACCGTGATACTTCAGCTACTTAATTAATTCAGTACATAAAAACAAGACTGAAGAGGACAAAACTTTTAGACCTAGTGTAATAGTTATGTGATAATATTTTAAGGGGATCGCCACAGCTATGGCCAAAGTAACAACAATTGGTGATCTTAGTTTTATATGGATAAGATATAAGATAAAATTGCTAGTGGTCTCTTTAGACCAGCTGTAACATTGAAAACATATTAAAAACAAATTAAAAAAGTTTTGGGAGATTTTATATTTAGATAATTAAAAAAAAAATTAGTAGACATTCTATTTGAAAAATATTACAGAAAGATCCAACATTGCCACAACTAAATAAGATATAATATATCATCAAAAAATCCGAACTTACCTTGATGCCTCTTCATTGAATGAAGATTCATAGATATTGATAAATAAGAGATTTTCTGTAGCATTTACTTTTAATATTTTTGATAAAGTTAATAAAAAAATTAATTTTGGGTACATTATTATCTAATTCCAGCAAATTAGGTTTTTAAAATAAATGTAGAATTTCAGTAAAAACATTCTGAAAAAAATGTTTGCATTGTTTCACAAAACATCGGATTCGATATTTATATTTAAAACTGGAACAAAATATACAATTCTTTATGGGATGATCTCTCCCTGGTTTTACGTTCGCTCTTTATGTTTTCGTATGTCGTTCGAAATAAATCGATGCGACGTTTATACTAAAAAGTAAAAATAAGCGAAACTATATTTCCTAACCCAAATGGAAGGACGTCATCAGCATCCTATTTGCGATTGACATAAATTTATGCATGAGACATTATGAAAGAATATGTTCTCTTCTGGATATCATGGGTGAAGATTGGATGGAATTTTTACAGCCAAAAAAATCAGAGATGGACCTTCGAATTATGGAAATTCAAAAATGTGTTTTGTCAATAAATTATAATAAAGGAATGGTCCAAAAAATATTTATATAATAGGCCTTGGAAAAATGCATGTATATCGTGTCTGAAATTTTTCTTCTTTTTAAGTATTTTGTTCTGCTTTTAATTTAGAACTGCGAGTACTAATCACAGTCTTTACCGGTCACGGTCTACTTCATTCATTCATTGTGGATCACTATTTACATTAAACAAAAGATATGCAAATCACTGTATTATTTTTTATAATAAATTGTATTAATATTTATAGTTGTAGTTATACACAAGGTTCCGACATAGAGTTCCATGTCTTCAAATTGATGAAGATCTTAAGTATTAAGATAATATTGTTACCAGGGGTATAAGCACTAGTAATAATCTTAAATTATATTTTTTGCAACACGATTTCATTTACAAATTGACAATATATTATTAAGTACATTAATTTATGTTATTATCCCGATATCAAAAGTTGTATTCAATAGATTAAATCACGAAATATTCAATTAAGGAAGCACAATGATTAACAGTTACAGTACAAAAGCAATTACAATAAATGTTTATTAGATTTTTATACCAGTAATGAATCAATCATGATTATCAGCTATTAGTCAAGTACGGGTAAGAGAACATGCCGAGGATGAGGTGGTTATTAATTTCACTCATCAGCCCGTCTTGTCCCATCGCAGTTCTTCGTAACAATGACTACTCACATTCAGGAGCCTGTAAGAGACCATCCTGTCCTCCCTTTCCAGCAGAATGTGTAGAGGAGTTAGATCCAGCATATTGCTTTAGTTATGGCAAGGCACGCAATCTGCTGTATTCCAGCCAGATTTGCTCTGGCCGTTCGTTGAAGTCCCTTGTCCCAACAGATGAGAGAGCCGTACGTAACCATGGGTTTTACCACTGTTTGGTAAATCCAGTAGATTAGTTGAGGACTGATCCCCATGCTTTGTTGCATATTCTTCTGAGGGTCCAGAAGGATAATCTGGATTTGTTGATGGTTTTATCTAATTGGGGGTTCCAGGTGAGTTTTTCATCTAGGGTGATTCCCAGATATTTCACTTCCTCCGCAAAAGGAATGGTTTCCACAGCCAAGGTAGGTTTTTAAAGCATGTTTTGCTTTTACGTTTGCCCTTATGTATCCATCACGTGCTTTTGATCCACATAATGTTGAGAAAAAGTTCTTTGAATCAAAATATGCATTATCCGTGGACATTCAGCAACAACCTCAAACTAATCAATTAGTTTATTGTAATCCTGAGCTAAAAAATTGAGTTTTGGAACTCTGAAAATTCTGAATTGTGTGAATTTTGTCTGGTTTTTAAAATTTTTCTTATAGCAATTTCTCTAATATGGGATTGATTATCTGATATAACTGTGTCAATAATTTCCCTATTATTATGGAAATTGTCTAGTAGCCAATATTGTAACCCATAAATGTCGTTCTCCGTCCTGTATATGCGGTTTTATTTTTATGTTAAACCATAAAGGTGCATATACTTTTATGATATACTCAACTAGTACAAGTAGTGTTATAGGTGGCTCCGTTGTAGAAATATAATGCCGCAGAATTCGATTTGCAGTAGTTAACCACCTAGCATGACCTAGTTTTCCTGGGTTTCGGGAGGCAAGATTTTCTGAGCACTTTTAATTGCTTGACAAATGAGATACATGTACTGTTGATCTGTGCTTAGGTCTTTTTTATCTAATTATATTAGCTCGGTTTCCACTGGCAAGACGTCTTCAATAGAAGCCTCTTTGCAATCTCCAGGTTGCGATCCTATCGGTTCTGAAAGAGAATTGGGATCTTTTATAACACCATCAAGCTTTTGTAACAAATGCTTAAGTGGAAGTTCATTAGCTTGTAAAAATCAAATGCTCCATTGCAGTGGTTTATTCAGTTGAGTTGTAACTAATAGGATGACACCTCATTTCCAACCTGTGTTCACGTTTGTACCATCACACCTAATCACAGTACAATTTGTCGTGTCGATCTTGTTTTCTTTTATAAAAAAACATTAGACCTTTTGATATGTCAGTTACTTTTACTGGTGGCACTAAAGATTCATGTCCGAGGTATTTGCTTTCGAGTTCTTCAATAAATGCAATATGCTCCTCCTCCTTGTTCTTATCTATAATCGTGCCTTGTTCATCAGCTGATACTAAGCTCGTATCATCTAAAACGGCTGTTGCAATTTTTGCCACATTTCTGCTTAATATACCAGTCAAATCAGCAGCTTTAGTTGTAATCTCTAGTAAAATTCTCATTTGACTAGCACTATTTTGTTTTTGTTCGGTTTTTTGTCTCTTTTCCAGAAATCCATTCAAAATCAGTATCATTATCATTTGTATCAGTTCCATCGCTAGCGGTGTCCGCATCTGACGTAGATTCCGGGATACTGAAAAAGCTTCTACTGGATTTATTAGAACAAAATCCGCTCTCAGGGCCATAAAAGTGCAGAGGTAACATAGTATTATCAGTGGAGTAAAATGTCTTTTTTTTTTATTTGTTTATTAACGGGGACGCGGCAAAACCTTAAAATATATTATCCAGTTTTTTTACGCAAAATTGTTTTTATTAGCTACCCCGGACAAAATTAAATATAAATAAAAAACAAATTTTTTTGTTAAAATGAAAGAAATTAAAGAAAAATTGCAAAATAATCCCACTACTGCTACAATTTGCATACTATATGCAAAGTATATTTCTTCTATAGAAACCAGTCCAAAAAACGTTTTATTTATATCAACTTACGGTAAATGTGAAAACTGGCAAGATAGTGTTGTACGAATATCATTTAATTTAGAAAAAAAGGACCAAAGGAAGTTTCTTTCTTCATTATGATCTATGTAAAAAGCAACATTTCAAATAATGTCCAACTATAACAGATTTTTTCCAATGAATATGGAGGGCAAAACAAGAGCCATTGTCTCATAACAATATGTGCTGTTCTTGTAGACACAGGTCGATTTGAATCAGTGAATTAATATTTTTCTATTTGCGAACACTCTTATATGCTTTGCGATAGGGATTTTGATATTGTTGTGTGAGGGCCACTCCGATCCTTGACTTCTCATTAAAAGCCTCCTTCGAGCATAATAGCCGGAGAGCTAATAACACACATTTCATTAAGTGTTTGATGCACTTTGAAATTTTGTAATTTGAAATCATTTGGATGGAAAAGCAGATAAACCTGTGTTGGCTAGACCCACCCCGGGACACTAGGTACTGCGCATAATAGAAATGGGTCGTAAAATATGACCCAAAAAAAGTGTTTGATTCAAAGGCCAACAAACAACAATTGAAAGTTTAGGTAATTCTAAAAATACTAGTAATTTAGGCAAACACTTTTGAGAGGGTTTATAATTGATAAATCAACCCCAAAGTTGATTTGTTTAAATATGATTTAAAGTGTTTGACTTACGCTGCAATTTTAATAGCGTCTTAATTAAATATAAAAAAAATTCCAAAAAGGCAGACACTTTTTCCGGGGTTTAATTGCCGGCCAACATAAAAATGAATAAACCTCGTTATGCGCCACTATGCATTTAATAAGTATATCATTTTTAAAAACTAAACAGTTTAAATTACCAAGACTGTGAAATAATAAAACAATAATATTTTTCCTTTTTTTAGGAAAACATAAAAACAAAAAAAAAACTAAAAGTTCGGGGCTCGAACCACCAACTTGCTATCCACACTATCAAAATGTGGATACATATTTAACAACAAAAACTAACAACAAACCAAACCGATTATCAGTTTTTTTTTTTTCGGCAATTCAAACTTTTTGACTCGTGATTATGAAGATTGTAAAATACCAGGTGACAATGAAGCCAAAGACACGTTAATATCTCTTTTATTTGTGAAGCAATTTAGATAAAATTTGACATAAGCATGTAAGACCTAATTCTAAATTGCCACTTGTACATAAAGAAAATTTCCGACTTCCGGTTTGACCGGAAATGCCATTAAAAGTGTGAAAACGAATAAGATTCACGGCTGTAAGAATTTATTAAATAAACTTAAAACCGTATGTCAATCGGAGTGCGTACTTGAGAGTTATCTGAACAGCGCACAGATGCATGCCTTAAATTGTTTAAGTTTTCAGTCCCAGGGTAGTCAAAAACGAGGCGAAGAATATTGTGTTATCGTTTTAAAAAGTGGGAGAAGATAAGCTTCATAGGTCTCATAAATAATGTGATTATTTTAATTTACACTTGTAAAGGGTAAAAACAAAATCAATCTTTTTTAGATTGTGTTATATTCATTAAGCGTAGATAAGTTAAATATCCCATCCAACACAAGTCTAGCAAATGCAGTGTATTTAGATTTATATTTAGAAAATAGATATTCCAATTAGACCATCTTCCTTTCATACATAATTCAGAATGTGTTTTCAACAATTATAAGCTGGCAACATCGATTTCTCGTGTCAGAATAACACAACGTACTCGTAGATATAGCAAACTTCGCACAACTCCAGCTAATTTACTGCGACCGAAATGCATTTCTGCAGCCGATATTAATATCCCTTGAAAGGATCGTTTGTAGCCGGAGTTGCCGAAGTTTGACTTACCGATGTTGTTTATGAAAGATAAGTTAAATAGGTGCCCCAGTGACAATGGAAACTTTCAAGTGAAATTCAGAAAGTTATGGTTGAAGACGAATTTTACATCTCGGACTTTTAGGAATTATTGTTGGTCTCTTTTGAAAATATTCATAGAATTGCGTTTCTATAATAAAGGAAAACTAATAAAATTGTTTATGTCATGGAAGTTAAATGGAAGGATTTTCTATTGTGTAGGTAATATTAATGTGCTGGTGTAGCATTAATATAGGAAATCTTGCAGTTCTACATAATAAAGGAATATCGACAATTGTTTCTTATTACCATTTATTTACTTATTTTTACAATATTTTCACTATACGTGTTTCCTTTAAATAAAAGTTTATATATTAGGTGATTTCTAAACTTAGGGGGTGACTGATGATTATATAACTCAGGGCATCAATCATTTATGCACTTGATTGTCTTAAACTTGACTTTGTAGCCTTTATGTGTATGTGTAAGGTTTCTACTCTTGACATCAGGACTTAAAAGGGTTCAAGGAAACTCTATGTTCTCAAAACAAATACAATGTGACATTTAAAAACAACTGTTTTTACAAAACAAGTCGCTACCCGACATACATGGGCTTTTTAGAACAAAGAAGATTGTAACGTGATTGCTAGTTATTCTATCTACTTGTTTAATGTGTTTGAGCTCAATTGATTGGGCGTGGGTAAGGTTGTTAAATAACTTGAATAACTTTGAAAAAGAAGTTGGGCAACACAATATTTAAAGCTTAATATACTTGACTCTAGATTAGTGATAAAAATATAGAAAATCACTAACCACTTACAAAATATATTTAAACCGTGCTTTAGGTAAGGTAGATATAAAATTCTAATTCACATAATTTTAATAAATTCAAATTTAAGATGATTTATTGAATAAAACTTAGCTTTTGGTAAAGGGAGGTAATATAAGGAACGTTATCGCATGGTATATCCTCAGGCAACTTTCAATTATGATACCGAGGTATTTTGTTGTTTTTCATTTTAATTATAAAGTTGTCATTTATTTGTATGTTAAAAGAAGGCCGCAAAAATATTAATAATTAAGTAGTATTAATATAATATTAAGTAATTTTTTAAAATAGAGTACATGAACCCCAAACAAAAATAATTTATAATAAATGCGGGTAAAATGAGGGGTTAAATAACAATAAATTAAGGGAAATACTTAAAAAGGGTAGGTTTAAAGAGAAGTATATCCTTTCTATTTATTTACTAAGTATTGTTTGAGTGTACTTTTAAATAAATTTATTGTTGTTTTTTTTTTTAATTTCTGTAGGCAGTCTATTAAATTTTTTAAACCTTTAATAAAAATTGTATTTTGGGAACGTTTAGTGATGGCTTGCCGTACATGAAAGTCAGATTGGCTTCTTGTATTATAGTTGTGATATTGCGAATTATATTGACTTTTTTCTAATAGATCTGATGCTATGGCACTATGTCATTTTTATTTTATAAATAAATATCAGTCATGTACTGAACATAATTCTGAACTGAAAGCCAATTTATTTCTTTTAACATAGTTGCAATACTCATCCTTCTGTCCTTTATTAATAGAATATAAAAATAGGCGAAGTAAGGAGCCCAAATATTTTACATGAGCAGGCTTAAGAGGTAAAGGGGCCAATTATTATTGAATAAATTGCTTGAACAAGTTTTTAAACCGCAATCAAACGGCGATATAGAATGGTTTTAAAAATCAAGGCTTGTGAAAATCATCACATGGTTTAACCTAAGTAATGACAATGCTTCACAAAACAAAAAATTCAACGTTCTAATACTACTATCGGCTTTCGGTCTTTCGTTCCAATTTAAATCATTTCTCGTATTTGATACACTACTAGTTTACCCGTGTGGGCCTCAATCTCGATAAGGTGGGAACCACCATTTTAGCGTCTCTCGAATTAAATATTTGAAAAATTTACGATAGAAAACAGAAATGAGAATACCAAAATTTTTTTAGAAAATTATTTTTTGTTAAAAAAATTGTTTGTTGCCATGGTAACGGAACAAATTTGCTTAAAAAATAAAGGTGATTGATCATATTTTCGTCAAAATTCCGTACAATTTGTGCATCAAAATTAGTAATTGGCAAGTAAAAAAACCTTGACCTTGTACCTTTTGCAAAATTCCCACGTTTCTCGGATCTTCCACAAAGCTAGAGAGACTTGGAGCGAACAGAAGGAAGAATTTCTAAGAGATAAATACCACAAGAAACCGGTGAAGTGATTATGGTGGCCATATGTTGAAAGCCGAGTGCCCCGAGTTAATGCAAACAGCATGACTGTGACTCGAGCCTTCCTTCTGTTGCTGCTGCCCCTGTCACTACTTCTTTCTATAAACGCTTCAAAGAATCATTGGCCAGATTTTAAAAGAATAATAAAATATTAACAACAACACTAATAGTCGGGCCACTTGCCTTGTTACTTTTGTAGGTTGGTTGTTAGTATTTTACGTTACAAGGGATTTGGGATCCTTATTTGTAATTCTGCAACGTGAACGATCTTGTGATATTTGGCATTTTAACTTCAACTCGAAACTGTCCTGATCTTCTAGAGATTATTCAAACAACGGTCTTCAGATTGTACCAAAACCAAAACGTCTAGGTATAAGTCCATAGAACATCTTGAGAGGAATTCAAAACCGTCTAGATATACCCATGCTAAAAAAGGGCTAAAATGTTAAGACAGGAAATAGGAAATTTGAACAGGATTTAGATGAAACGCTTTAACTATTAAATAAACAATTTAAAACTATT